CACCTTGATGTTTGTGAGGCAAGGCGTACTCTTGACAACTTGAGGCTTATGCGTCTTGGACATTAGGTGTACACCTTGCAGCATCCACCACAAGAAATACGAGGTTTTCACCTTAATTTGAATGGGTTTGGGGTTGACTAATAAACTTTCAAATTCAAGTCGATTTATTTACCAGCGTTGTTCAGGTACATTTTTAGGAGCCTAGACTTTAAAAACTGGGCTGAAGTGAAAAGAGTCTGTTTTGAGATTTCATTGCTGGGCTTCTATATTTGCTTCTGGTTTTGGGGTGTTTACACCATGGTAGACTCTCTCAACAAATTGACCATATAACCACAAATATGTGGGAGAGGACTGTCCCAGATTAGCTCCCAACTGATCAAACAAGAACAGCTCTCACCCGATCTTCTTCAGATATAGTTCTCTCCGCTTCCACCAAGAGAAGCACTATCTTCCAACAAATATATTGTGAATACATAGAATTCAACATAGGGGTAAAGAAGAGTGTATGAACCCGTTCACAAATGGTAACAATTTCCATGAACACTCAATCCAAAGGAACCAAAACAGACTGCAAATTTAAGTGATATAGTAATGTTTGATATCAAAAAGCGGTATGCAATACCTGATGGAAGTCACCGGAGCCAGAACCAGCTGAACTACCGGATGTGTTGTTGACTCGCACAGGCACACATTCATTAATGCGGCGTAGTTTCACCTCCAGGTCCTCATCTTCGGGGTTGGGTGGGGGCGGCGTATACTCCACTAGAGCTGTGGAAGAAGAAGATTCTGGAGGCCGAGGAGGGAGCACCTTCACCTTCCTCTCCGCCACCGTAACCACCTGCAGGTCTCCGGCAGCGACGGACATCGGCCTATCGGATGACGATGACATACTAATTTTAAATTTCTGCAGAACACTAGATAAGTCTAATTGCACTATTTATTTTGCAATTCGTTTTACAGAATTGATTTGGGGAAAAAAGGAGGAGAATTATTGGGGCTTGAAAGTGTTGTTGTAGGGTTTCGTTTGCAGGATCCGAACTCGGAAGGTTTGCGATTGGAATATGGATTCTTGGACGGGAAAATTGAGGAAATGGTGGAAAATATCTGGTTGACCCGGCCACTTTTTCACAATAATCGTTGACCAAGTAAAAAAGAATTTTAAAAAAAAACTTAAAAGTCCAGCATTTTCTCATTTTTACTCTCACACGTGACTTGGAAGAGAGTTGGGAGAGAAAAAAAGCATGTTTTCGAATTTTTGTTGATTATCTTCGAAAAAATTGTTGTAGAATCAATTATTAATGGATAAAATGTAATTTGGGTGAGATTTGAGGGGCGGAGATCGCCGAAAATGACGTTTTTCAGGCGAATCTATCAGTTGGAAGAGAAAAATCGAGACGCGTCTAGGCTTGGGCACAGACGCCCAAAAGTCTGGGCTTCTAGGAGTCTGGCCTAGACTTCTGGCCCAGTTGATTTTTTTTCTTTTTTATTTAATATTTAATTTAAAATTAATTTCTAATTTTATTATTTAATATTAATTATAATTTAATTTTGTCTTGAATTTTTAATTATTTATTTAATATTTAATTTAAATAATATAATTAACTTATTTAAGTAACATTCACGAAAAAAAAGTTTATAAAATATAAAATATTATTTAGCTATAAATAATAAACTATTAAATATTCGTTTGTTTATTTAATATTCTATTAATTATAATTAATATTATAAATTATTAAGTAAAC